GAAACAAGTTAATTACCGAAACTATAAATGGTACTATACTGACAAAAGAGTGTATAAAGGGTGGAAGATCTCAAACAAAAAATTGTGTAAACTTTATTCCTAGTAAGTTAATGATTAATAGAATGACCAGTAACACATTATATCCTAAAACAGAAATTTCATCAGATAATATTTCTACTGRTATATTTTATTCAGCTGACGAATAAAATTGTTTTAAYTCCTGGCAACTATAGATATTTATTTTTAAGTTGAAAGTATTAGGCATGTGCAATTTGTTAACTATACCTACCAAACAGAATAAATAAGTATTATTTGTTTGAATTGTTATTGATTAAAGAAGAAATATTATGTTCCTTATTTGTTTTTATGTATAAGATAATACAACTATTTTACAACTACCTAGTTAAAATACTTAAAACCAGTTAATTTTTTTAATTTTATTGTATATTTGTTAAATGACTATGTTATAATATTATGTTTATTAAATAAAGCAGTGATGTTGATACTTTTATTTTGTTCATGTTCTTTTAATAAACCTTTTCAATTTGAAGTGTTTAAAACCATTTTAGATAACTATGATAATATGAAGTCAATTGTGATTTTTGTGATTGTGTTTTTTTTTTATTGTACGAGGATCAAAGTTCAAATACGAGAATTTTGGGAAGCTTGATACGAGATTTTGGCAATAGGTATCTGGCAACACTGGGTGGCCTGTACGGCGTACGCTATTGTATCTATGGGCATAAGCGACGGGGACTGCGGTCCGCGGGTCGCGACAGCGCGGAGAGACTATACTATATTACTGTGCGATAATTCTCGTCGTACATTTACGGCGGCGACCTGCGATTTTGTATTTACAGCGCGTAGAGTTCGATATTTACGTCTAATTATAGCTAAAGAGACACCGACCAATAGCAATGATTGTGAAGTAGGTACTTGTTATCCATATCAGTGATATTAGGGATATTATTCACATAATATTGATTATTATTAATTGAGATCTTTATTTTATTTACAATTTGGCTTTCAAAGTGTGTTGTTGTTGCTTGTTGGTACGTGACGTATTACAGCTGTTACAGGTAATTTATATTTATTTCTAATTTTGGTTCCACTTGTCTACAATCATGAATTCCATTCAAGAATTGATTAAATTAAAATTTACGTCCTTGTCGTTCGAAAAAAAAATTGAAATAAAATCGCTGGGAAGACCATTACCTACTTCATTTAATTTAACCCAGGAATTAAAAAAAGGAAATAAAAATTATCAACGTCGTTTTAATACGGAACTATTCCAAAAATGTAAATGGCTATGTGGGTCAATCATAGATTTAGTATTCATCTGAGATAGGTGTGGATGGGGCTACTACCACTTCAAAAAAAAATTTATCGCACTACCATATGAAACTACCACGAGCCGCCACTGAAATACATCATCATATTAACACATTACATACTGGTCAGATGATTATTGAAAAATAAATAATCCGACTAAGGCCGTGTTGGACGTAATAACGTCACGATTCACCAACAAAACATGACCATATAGTGGCTAAACAATTGTATTCCATTAGGTAAACGGATAAAAGGGATTGAATAAAATATATAATATCACTTTAAAATATAACTCAGAATGTCAGCTAATTATTCTAACTTTAAAGCGTTAATGTCTATCTTTGAAAAAATTAGAAGAGTGTAAATAAATTGATTTTTTTTAATAATAAAGACACTACAATACTATAAGTAGACATCAATATGTTTGTTGATTAATTATAATTTATATTACCGACTTCAATTTCACTGTTTTTTGAACTTGACAACTTTATTGCATCTGTATAAATAATAAAAATATTTCAATATATTATAATATACAAATACTAAAAATTCTAAAGTGAAGCTACATCCCGGATTTGTAGGTATTTACTAATTAGAATAACGCATTAATACATTTCAATTAGATAGCTAAAATTAAATCAATTTATGTGTCCATTACTTGCAAACATTCAATTATATTCAAACACTATACATATATCTAGTCTATAACATTATTGTAGAGAGCTATGAATATTTTTATCATATGGTATACACTATACACTATAAATTACATCACAATATCCATATTATGTTATGGTAAATAACAAAAATATGACTATTACATAATAAATTGGTGATTGTCGTAAATATATTCAACATCTACTGGTTAGTTGTAATATTTACCCAACGAATTGATTAATGTTTCGTATTATACTAAAATTTATCTATTACACTAATTTCTTATTTTTCGTTGTTGTAAAAACTTCTGTTTATAATTATTAAAAAACCCCTATTTTTAACGTAAATTATTTAGTGATTATGTTTTTTTTTTACATTTTAATATAGGAACCAAATTAAGAAAATTAAGAATGTTAATAAGTTATTTCTCAGTTAATAAAATGTTTATACTTAGTATATTAATCCTTGAAAACAGTTTCACAAAAATATGTAGTAGATGTAATATTAGATCTAGTATTTATTATATTTTAACAACCTAATTTTTCTATCTATTTTGATATACTATCCTCAGTACACAAATTTAAACAATTCAAAAGTACTCATTAATTAGTTAGGTTAATCTAACCATACGTACGTTATTGTTTTCAGAAAAATAGTTCTCTAAATATTGTATAATAGAAGGATGGAGAGGGGTTTATCTTATTTTTAATTCAAAATCTCTTATACATACAGGAAACTCCTTGAGTAGTTTAAAAAATTCAATAATTTAAAAATATATTAGTAATTCCAAAAACAGATTTTAATAATAACTACATTATTTTTGAAAAAAAATATAGATGATTATGCATAGTGAATTATCTTGTCAAATAAATATGTATAAGTGATATTTATTTGTGTATTCATAATTAACTAAATTACCTTTACAGTTTCTGTCGTTTTTTTCGATCAGATTACGTTGTACAAATGAAAATGTACATTTATCTATTGAAACGATATTATCTATGATTGTGTTTCTTTGGCGGATCGTAACGTCAAAACATGGTCTGGATCCAAGCCTTATTGATTCAGGATTTATTTTCCAATAATCCTCTAGACCCGCATGTAAAAATGTATTCCTCGTCTTTCGTTTGAATTCGTCTAATGCTTGCATAAGAATACTTTGATCAACCACAAACTGCGATTTTATGTTGTTACTTGCATAGTAAAACTGTTGATATAATACATTTTAAATATTTATATATTTCATCTAAGCTGGTTAAAGCACATTTAATATATAATACAGTAATTGATTTTAAAATTTAGCAATAAAATAAAAAGTAATTTAGTGATGTTAACATAATCAATTACTGTAGACGAAAGAAATATATAGATTGACTTGTATTATTCAGCGAGTGAACGATTAATAACATAAGTAATCAATACCATATAATAGGTAGTACAGTTAATGGAGCAATAATTACGGGTAGGGCACGTAGGAATTCTAAATCTAACGTGTTGAAGAACAGAGAAGTCATCAATTTTACCACATATGATAATATGAAGGAATGCTAAATTATTAGCAATATAGCGATCAGCCATAGTTAGGAGATTTACATTTTGGAGCAATGGAACATTGTCACTAGACGGATGGACGATATTCAGTTTTAACTCAGTGAAACTGTGAAACTTGCTCAGTGCAACACTGAACACTCCCAATTCGTTAGCATTTAGAAAAGGGCTTGAAATCGAAATTAAAAATACCGGTATTTTAACAGAAACAATTTTAAAACGTTTGAATCGGAACCTTACCGAAACCCTTTTTTATTTTTATATTAGGGACCCAAACTAAAACTGACATTTATTGGAAGGTAATTTTTCGGTTTTGTTCGATTCCAATTTAATTTAATATAAAATTGATTCTGGTTTTTTTTTATCCCTTATTATTTTCCGAGTCTCGTCCCGCACTACTCGCTGCTCTGTCCCTTTCCATATTCCCCAATCATCCTCTAATTACCTCGATAACTATTTTATTGTACATCTAATGTGAATAGCTGATAATGACCCTTCTTTTTCTTTGTATATATTTCTCGATCTATAATCTTTTAACTTTATTACTAGCTTATATAAATTTGTTTATGTATATACATGTATATACATATATATTTATAAACATGTATATGCCTTGTTATTTTTTGAATGGGCCCCCGTTAGTATTCTAAAATAAAAAAAATTAAAATAATGAATAATAATTAGGTACCTAGTTGATTCATTAAATTTGGTTGATGTTGTAAATTTATACGTGTATTTATAATTTTATATTTCTATAATCTAACAGCTTCAGAAACGATAAAATATGAGCTGTTACCAAAATAATAATGTATAGTTAATAAAATGAGATTATTCGCCTTTTTCTAAAAAGACAAAAATACATACATTATTATTGAGTAACATTATCGATTATCTTTCTCCTTTAAGCAAAGCTTGTCTTGGAGAAAGATAATTATTATATAATATTTGATACAATTATTAAAATTATAGAATTTACAAGATATAGAATATAAGTTCTAAGTACATATAAAGCTAATTATACAAATATAGTTTAGAAATATTATCAAGAAAATGTACATGATAAAGAAAGAAATATAAAATAAACATATTAGTCTAAGATACACAAATAAAACCTCATAGATTACTATTTATAAAGCTTAGATATAAAATAAAATTATAGCAACTCATTATTTAACTCAAGAAATAAATATTTATATACCAAGCCTTTATTATTAATTCTTTTATCCCCAAGTATTTTTTTTTAATTCCAAAGGCATAGAATTGAAAAACGTTGATCCAAGATAATCTAAAAAACATTGACCAAAACATTTATTTGTAAAATTAACAGTCAAACCAAATCTCCTCAATTCTCTTTTATTACTTAACTCTTATGATATTTATCTAAGTTTTCTTAACCAAGTACATAATAGCAATTTTTTTTTTTATACAAAAACCTTATTGGCTAATCACCAAGTTCTTTATAGTTGGCTTTCGTAGATCCTTCTAGAGTGAATTTATTTGGGCAAATTCTGACTATATTATTTCGATTAACCACAATTGCATTTTTTGAAATATTACCCCGAAGGCCACCCCAAACCAATAGACCATATTGGAAATTTGATTGATATATTGCAAAATATACTATTTTCATTGTTTGTTTAGGTACCATGTTTTTGAGTTTGATCAATTTAAATGTAATTAAACGTAGGTATACTAATAAATTGTTAATATAAAAATTCTATTTTAAGTTGTTAACAAGTATAATACCCAAATATCGAATTTTTCTAACTATCTTAAGTATTTTGCAGTTTTCCTGATAACATGTTTTATTTATTATTGACGCAGCCATGTACTTCTATAGTATAGAAGTTGCAATCTGTTTTATTAATTGAAAATGGCATAAACACAGTTTTATCAACATTTAGAAGTAGATTTCTAGTGTTTAAAATGTTTATTATCTGATTGAAACCTCTGCAGACTTTCTCATATACCACATCCCATTATTTGTGTGAGAATATAAAACAAGTGTCATCAGTAAAAGTAACTATCGACCCATAAAAATGAATATTACAAATTTCGTTAATATATATTATAAATAGAAAGGATCTAAGAACACTACCTTGAAGTACACCATTTTCAGTTAATTTGCTAGCAAATCCCAAGTGCCGAATCCGAGACACGACCGTCATCGGGAGCAGGATGTAGGGTATGTGGTAGTCATGACCACTGGCAAGCTGCRTGTCCAAAAAGAAAGTCGGAGTCGGGAAACGTCAAAACGATCGGCCGGCCGGAACCGGCGGGAAAATCACGAGTTGTCAGAAAAGCGGTATGCAACGGAGTTCAACGTAAGTTACGGTTACTCCAGAGAAAAAAACGAGGTGATTGCTGAAATGGTGTGAGACATGGAGGAACAGGGTTTTGTTGAACCTAGCATATCTCTATGGGCTGCACCGATGGTACTCGTGAAAATAAAGGATGGCTCACGTAGATTTTGCATTGACTATCGCCGTCTGAACGTGCAGACGGAGTCGAACGCTCACCCGATGCCGGACCTTCATGACATGGTCCGAGGAATGGGTTGAGCGAACATTTATAGCTCCATGGATTTGAAATTAGAATATTGGCAGGTGGATCTCTTTGCAGAGACACGTCAACTGATGGCGTTTAGAACCCAAAGAGGGTTATTCCAGTTTAGAGTACTACTTTCGGACTTAAAAACGCCCCCGCCACTTTCTGTTGCTTGGTAAGCGAAGTCTTACGTGGGTTAGTTGGTAAATTTGTGTTGGTTTATTTGGATGATATTTTGGTATACTCTGAGAGTACAATCAACATCTAAACCACTTGCAGAGAGTCTTGGAGCGACTCCAGTATTACAGTCTGACATGCCGACCGAAAAAAATGTACGTTCGTGGTTGCACAAATTAAATTCTTAGGTCACGACGTGGACAGTGAAAGAATAGACCAAGAACCGGAAAAACTGACGGTGATTCAGGATTTGCCTAACCTAACCTTTCGAAAAAGACAAAAGACGTGTTACGGGTGTTGAGCGTTTGTGGTTGGTACAGTCAATTCGTGCCACACTGCCCCGAGATCGTACCACTCACGAGTCTGTTGGCCAAAGGGACCAAATGACGTTAGTCAGAAATTGAGCAAAAGGCTTTTTTGAAGTTGAAGGAGTCTCTGGTGTCCACGCCACGACTCTGCCCGCCTCTTCCGGGTAAGCCATTCAGTCTGCAAACCAACGCAAGCGAAGTCGGGGTTGGTGCTGTGCTCTTTCAGCTGGAGGAAAGTGGCGACAGGAAAGTCATATCCTACGCCAGCAAAAAACTCAATCCAGCTCAGGGAAGATACTCAAAAGTCGAACGTGAATGTCTAGCCATAGTTTGGGCGGTAGACAGGTTCAGGTCGTATCTTGAGTCCGGTTAATTTATGTTATTTACGGATAATGCGGACCTCCGATGGCTACAGCAAGCTCACTGTACCAACAGCTTTCAGAGGTTCCATTAGCTAGCCTTGCAGCCACCAGCCACACAGCCAGCGGAGCATCCGCAAGCCCAGCAGCCAGCGGAGTAGCAGCCGGCCCAGCATCCAGTGGTTGGCAGTTGGCACCCAGGAGCAACAGCTGGCTGTGGTAGAGTGGTGAATCCAAGCCATGGAGGTGACACCCGTGGACCCGGCCAGTCTCCCAGTAGATTAACCCGGTTGCTATGGCT